GAAATACATAACAGTTAAAGGAATCTTGCGCGGAAAATTCTTGCACTCTTTCCTAACATGAATATGTCAGTTGTGATCACTGGAAATAGCACACAAAGTTTCACGCATGAAGATTCGGTTTCTGAAGAGAAACAAACGTACAAAAACTACACGTTATGGACCATCGAAGGACCAGGAGGCAGAGCCAGGCGAGGCATGGAAAGAAGACGGCGTTTGGCCGGCTACGTACCAGGCGACGCAATGAGAGAATCGGGTTAAAGCGCGCGATTTCGGAGAGTGGAGACAAATCGATCGATGGAATAGGATGGAGTAGAAGTGTAAGATGTGAATGCAACGAAGCAGAAGGCCAGAAAGAGCTTCTAGTGAATGCACTCCAAGAACCAAGTTTGAGCATCCCCGTCGCCAGCATTCGTGAAAGACGTCCGTGGGCAATTCGAACGCGTAGCAGCCTTTTCGAGTTTTCGAATTTCTAATCAAAACGAAAGCAATACTTCAGTTCTTTTCACTATTATCGTGGATAATGAGTCTCAAGCCAGTGATTTATGGCTGAAATAGAATCATGATTTTTCCGCGCAAGATTCCTTTAAGAGGTGCACTCCAGAATGAAAACGGGACGATAACGATAACGGTATCATATCTAGCACGCTCTTATCGCACCCCTTTCCACATCGATAAGTCTTGGTTTTTGCTGAACGGAAGTGGATTTCGGCGCCTTATCACTCCGTTGATAAGGCGCCACTGCCACTGAAACTTCACGTGTTCTAACATTGGGCAGGACCTCTATCCACTCCAATACATAGCTTTCCTTATCGTTGCCATGAAAATTATCGTGACTGCTTCCTTTAAATCTGTGTATACCATTACAAGCTGTAGTGCGACATACCATTAGACTCGCCGAGCTTCTTTTTGACTTAACAAAAAGGAATTTCATATTATTGGATACCTGTCATAATGTGTCAGAGCCAGACAAAAGCAGCAGGTTTAGTTCTGCAGAGCTGTGAATAGGATTTCGCTTTTCCCACTAAATATGTAGAACCCCTGCCATGAGCCCCGTTGTTTTCGATCACCTCAAAATGTCGCCAGCCGTAACGCACAGAAGGAGACGTTTGTTCATCCGTAGGTCATTACCTCGATGTACCGCTAATTTTGCATGTCTACCTCGTCTGCAGGTCCTACTATAGTGTTCACGGCAAGTGATCCAACCCAAGGACGATCACTTCTCCAATGCTGAGGTGAGACCTCGATTTTTTGCTGAAACTTCGCCTACAGGGGTAAGTAGGTGTCCTGATCACGGATGAGATTCGCTCCTATCAGAGACCACCTGGTGCCAATTGGACGACATGATTTTTTCAATAAATTGACTCAATAATTTCATTAAAACATAATCATGATTCCAATCACGAACATGACAGCGTTTTGGTACCTTGTTCACTTTCCACAGTAAAGCCCTCCGTTGTATGTAAAGTGGTATACAACGCAAAAAGCTTTGCGAAGAACGAACTGACGACTTACCGTTAATACTTGTGGAGCGAGAACCATGCCACTGCGCTACAGCAACTGGTTACTTACGCTCGCTTGAGTCGCCTCATAGGCATGCTTTTGCCAACTTCGAAGGGTCTCATTTTTCTCAATAAGGTAACGTAGCAGCTTCAAAGCCCATATTGTAATTGGCTCTCCTTTCGATGTCCTATAATATTTGGGATGGTAAGAAAGTAATGAGCCGATTTTTCAGAAGCTTCAGAACTTTCGCTTATTTATCGATACCTTCTCATTCTCATTGTGGACGATGGGTCTCAAGCCAGTGATTTATGGGTGAGGTGGAATAATCACTTTCCGGGAAGGATTCCTTTGAAGCCATGGGTCGGGTCGAGTTTTGAGTATTTTTTGCGCTTGAAAGTGAATGCAAATATTTGAAATGGAACACCAGTGAAGAAAAAAGGGAAAGAAGCCGTTGACAAGATTGAGAGTAAAACCTCTCCCCTCGACAGCGGCGAGCTTGCTCAGGACAAATGCATGTCTGGACGAGTTTTCAGGCATGCCAACCATTGCTGGCTCCGTGCAAGCAGCACATAACCATCTCAACCCACATCACCCAGCTGACCCAGCCCTATACCAGTCATGCACCAGTTCCGGCGGTGTCCGGTCATAGCTCACGTCGCTCTAAATGCTAGGCCAAGGTTGTTATAGCCGCGCGGTTTCGAATCGCGGGCGCGGCTCACCTCTATAGTTGCAGACTAAGACGGAGCGGTTCCCTTGTTAGGCTTTTATGTGCCACCAAACCCCGTGTTCTTAGAAGGAAGACGCGATTTCATGGCGAAGGGCGCTGTTACGAAGCAATCGATCCGGGGTCGGTTAACGGATACACGATGTTCCGGTCAATGGCTGAGGAGTTCATAGCACTAAAAGCAGTAGTAATTTGTATAAACGGATAAGATCGAAAAAATGGCACATCAGATCGCCCCGCAAGTCAGTGCGTAGGTCAAATCCAACTTATCGTTAGGAGGGCACAATGGTTCTAGAGGGAAGGAAAACGCAAGCAGCATCCTAAAAAACGATTTATCTACGGCGGACGTTTTATCGCCTTTCGACGTTCTCAGCCTTATCGCATAAAGAATACCGTATAGCTAGGTCACAGCAACGGATATTTTGAGCCTTCCTTAGCCACGACCCACCTGATAAGCCGGTTTCGTCCAAGTTTTCTTGTCACTCTGCTTTTTAACCCCGTCTAGAAAACCTGTACACGCTTTCGCTGCGAAGACAATGCAATCGAGACCAGCTTCTCACCTCTGAGTGATATCCGTCGGCCACCGCCCCCTACGGATAGCTGCCCCGAACGACCACATCTATCCGTGACCTGATGTGGTTAGCCTTTCCGTTAGCCGTCATCGCCGCATCACTGATATCCACTGGTGGGTAGTTGTTGTGTCAAACAGCAGAATTTAATCGATCCCCTGTTCTAATTGTGTTGGATTCATTCTTAGTCACTTCTGCGAAACCAGCTCGCTTGTTTGGTGACCCAACTGTTTTATTCTTTCTACTATTAGTGTCCTCTTATAAGTAAATGTATAGCTTGAAGCAAAAATTTGCATATTTTTCCACTGCTGAACGGACGGACAGCCAACAGGCTTCCTATTTGGCCGAGCGCGTCACAAACCGACAGACACTGGTGATCCATAGTAATCAGTGGCTTCCTTCCAACCATTTTGCCCTCAAATAGGTCCCCTTTTCGATTCTGGTTCACTCCGAGAAATGGGAAAGCCTTATCGACCTTCCAATTCAAGAATCTACTTTCAGAAGCTGCACCCCCATGTTCCTTCCCATCGGCAAAGTCGTATGGCTAAATCCTCCAAACCATAGCACTAGGATAACAATAATGTATTGTTTTTCAAGAATAGCGGCGAAAATAAATTTCACGGTGCGATAATTTCTGCACAGCCACTGGCCCACATTTTCAGAGACGCTGCGGTTCGTGCGAATCCGTCGACAAGCATATCCACCAAATCCGGCACCGTTTCAACCACGTGTCGAGGATTACAATCTACCGCCATTCTATCAGGTGAACCTTTTCACGTTATTAAAATCATAGGTTTTAGCGCTCTTTTCGGTTGACTTCCGTGCGCGGGAAGCAGTTCTGTGATTTATTATATCTTATTGACCAAATGGGGTCATTCACACAACTCCTGCGTGGTTTCTGCCTTTAAAGGAGGATTTCACGATTAGAATGAAGGTCGAAGAAAAGTAATTGACCTAGTTGAGGGACCCACGGACCTCCTGAGGGTGCGAACTGACGCGCAATTCGCATGAAAAATTTGACCTCGGCGACCTATCATGCCTCAAAGCTGGCGGGTCCGGCGATCTCCGCCCACCGATCATCTGATCACTCGCCGCAGTCTATACGTGGCGAGTGATTAGATAGCAGAGAGAGCGTAGTGTTGAAGAGGGCACAGCGATGAGAGTCGCATCAATGCTCAAATCAACGGGCAAGGAAGGGGTCCCATTTCTCGGGTTCTGGGCCGTTTCTCATGGTTCTTCCTTCTTTCGTGTACCACTCACCATCCCTAGGTTAATTTGAAATGGGTTGCCTTTTCAGCGTGAATTCGTCCTTTAAAGATTCCACGCTAAAGGTTAATATGGACTGGCGTTGTGGTAGCGGAACCTGGACTGATGTTAAAGCGAGTGGCGCTACTTACTAGGCGCGCGATCCAGGGATCAAATCCAAGACTTCAGGCCGTGCGGATCGACCAAGCCTTTCATACCTCCGGACTGGTACCACACTTGTCTATAAAATAATAACACAGCTTCGTTCATCGGCCGGCCCCCACAAATCGCGGCTAGACTAATTTGTGGGCAGATGGAGGGGGAGGGCCAGGTGCGGTTCTGGCTATCGTCCGCCTAGGATCGTTTGCCCGCCGTTCCAATGGCCTCACCCCTGAAAATGCTAATCTTATGAAACGTCACTTGCCATGGTTATTCTATGATCGAAATACATCACAGCATCAATTAAGAACCACGCACCATTTGAAGCCTTTGTTCTCGCCTCACTTCTCGAACCGCGCTAAAAAATACTCCCACGCATAAGATGTAATGGGCCTACGCATTCGGGAGTCAGTCGGTCCTTTTCTCTCTCCTGGCGAATGTGATGGATGTTAGCCGGATAGGAACGCTTCCGAAGCATGCTAGTATGATGCAGTGCCTGGCGCGGTCGCGATGCGTGATGATGGGAACTTTTTTCCATGGGTCCCTTTCCAGTCCAAAATGTTCAACTTCTGCTTATAACCATTTAAAATTATAATGAGTTCAGATTGAAAGCCTTGTCGTCAATTCTACGTACAAATACAGAATAATGACTTTCAGCCGCATCCTGGTCGCGATGCCTCGTCACTGACGCCTGTATTCCCTTTCACCAGTGAATTCAACAATGGTCTTGATGTGAATCCCGGCACACGGTTCACGGTGGATGGAAATATCAACGTACCCATTGTTGGTTGGGGTATATGGGACTATAAAGGTTGGTAAAGCATAACTTTCTAACCAGCATTTGGTCATTATTTATTCAGTTGCCCTACCCCAATTGGATGCGCCCTGCATTCAAAGTCAATATAGAGCAAAAAAGTGTTTGAATATGGGCTTTATCGAAAAAATAACCTTGGGAAACTCCCACCACTACCACGATCTTTTTCTCCTCAAGGACGAGCGCCATATTGAGTGACGTGCAGAGAAGTGTAGACGTTGGCGCTATCGCAATATACGGAGGCATTTCGCAAATGCCTGTCCACTTTTCGTTAACGTGCCTGAATGTGTGAATGTTGAGGCGTGTCAAGTAGTGGTTTGGAGTCCAGACAGACGGGCGCATACTCTACGTAAAACCATGAGTTTTTCGAAAGGAAAAGGGACAGAGATAAACTGCTATCGCAAGTACGGGGCATTGTGGTGGCAAAGCGTTTGGAACCGCGCCAAACATTTCCTTTCTGTCAAAAATCGGACTAAGCTTTAACTGGAAACCAAAAGGCTCCAGATTGCGTGAGCAATTTTCTTTTTATTTTTCCGATGTTCCTGCCCCATCCTGGGCTTAGTCCCAGTGGAAGCCCCTGTATTTTGCGATAGAGGTCCAACAGGACTAGATGTAGCAAAATCACAAAAGCGATTGTGCCGAAAAGGACTAGATGTGGCAAAATCAGAAAAAAAACAACTAGTGAATGCGTAGAAATGATACTGCTGGCGTTGGGTCAGAATATACACGTTTCAACGCGTTTTAAGCTTTAACCAGGTATTAGCAAGTATGTAACCACGACTTGACCAGAATGTACACGTTCAGACAAAATGCCCCCGTATTTTCCGAGAGCGCATTGAGTTTTGTTGACTTGAGTCAGATTCATTCCGCTGATAGCAGCGCCTTTCGCTTCTAAACATAAGTTATTCTCAAAGAATTCTCGTCTTTGAGCCTTGCTACTTGTCACCTTCTACACGGTCTCTGCCTCTATACCCCTTCTCTGAAAATATTCTTCCCATTTTCTTGAATTTCCAGTTCTTAATTTCTTTCCTTTACACTTTTCCTTCGATCTGTTGTGAAATATTTCCAGGAGGAATAAAAGTAGGACGACCGAATACCCGAGTAGGATTTGGCTCATTGCAACGACCGACAAATGTGCTCGGTATAACAGCCGACACCTTGGCAACATTGGCGAAGGATGGCGCCTTCAATCAAGCCCGAGGTTTGTTTTGAGCAGGAAACTGTTAGAACTTTTCATGTTGCCGCTTTAGAATGAATGCGATCCTTGACGCATTGCTTTTGAATGAGCCACGGATTCGTCGCCCGCTCAGAATTGCGAACGCTATGAAATGCTTTTGCAGGTGGTTTGCATATTTCAGAATCCGTCCCTTCAATTCCCGTTTCGGTCTTGCCGGGCAATTTTGTGCCCCTACGATGCAAACCGCCATTCTGCAATCCGTTCGTGCACAACACAGCGTTTGGTGTGGATGTCGAACCGGGAGACGATTATCTGTTCGACGGCGGCCTCGACTTCCCAATCCCATTGGGACCGTCCGGTGTTGGTGTACGATTCCCATTGAGTGGTACGTCGTTTCTACCTCATTTCACTTTATTTTCTACAACACAATACATTTGATGGCTATTGATTGATTCTTTTAGGTGCGGTAAACGTTGGCACAGATCCATTGCTTATCACTTATGGTCATGGAATGGGTCCTGTAGAACCGCCAGGCTTTCCGTTCGAAAACCAAAAAACGACACCAAGACGATTGAGCATCTTCTCCCTATTCAACCTCGTTACCTGTGCTTTAATATGTGCAATATTTAATATAAATTTTTGTTCGTTACTGATAAAATACAAGTGCAGCAGGCCAAGAATTTTATTGGCAGCGAACATTTACATTTTGTGGAAATCGTCGTCAGTTGTGGTGTGTGGTCTGCGCTTGACACGCTTCTGATCGGAAACAGAGATTTTCTACGCTTACATTTTTTCATTTCGTTGCCGTTGCAGATTTCATGTTTGACGACGACGAACGACTTCCAGAAGCGCAAATTACAGCAGCCGAAACAGCTGGGGCTATGAGCGGCATTGCCATAAAAGGAATTGACGGTGCTCATCAGTATGGCGTTCGTGCTACTGGTGAGTCACCAGGTCGGAGGGCGTAGTCTGTGAGGTGGGTGGGGTCTTTAAAGTACAGTGAGCCCCTCCGAATTATAGCTGTTCCTATCGGAAGTACTTCGGTTAGAGAGTCAATTATGAATTCCCTGACAATGGATTTAGCAAAATAGCCACAGCATTCAATCAAATCACCCAATCGAATTCAATAGTTCCAAGAGGGTTCCTTCTAAAGGCACGCTCCGGGTTGGGCACCCTCAGCCGTCCCATACCCGAGCATAGTACACAGGCGGACAAGCGCTGATAACGCGCCCGTTTTGCGGCCTAAAAGTGCGCGACAAAAGCGCCAGAAGCTCGCCCTACTCGCAACCACGCCCTCTCACACAAGCCCGCCTTCCGTTGTCGCTGCCACGTTGGCGCTGCGATAAGAGCGTGGCCGCAGCTGCGGCAGTGTCAGATTGCGACTCAATGCGCGCATCCTATTTGTAGTGTGAGAGTCGTTGGACCTGTTTTAAAAGAGAAGCTCGTAGAGGAGGGTTTCTTCTTCATTCGTTACAAAAAGGGAGGGTTTTGGAAAAATCTGCTCGCAAAGTGCGAGCGCTGTTGCGGCAGCGATTGCACTGCGATTTACTGCGACTAGTTGCGTGAAACTCGTCCAACTCACCTCCTCTTGATCTCAAGGTTGAATGCGGCTGATATAGAGGAGGTCCTTATTCGGGGCGTAGGTTTCTCCTGCTTTCTAATTCCTTTCCAGACCACTGCCAACCTTTAGCTTTCACTGGCGATATGTTCTTCGTACCGAACTATCCTCCTCCGAGGCTTTGCTTTAAGGCATAAATTGCTCCATCGTCGAAGCCTTTGTCACTTCAGCAACCTGGCTGAGAACTATGGGAACTGCCTCCGAAAGAAGAAAAAAGTCATACGGGTTGTGACTTATCATCAGCGGACAATCCCGCGAATCACCATTGTTTTCCTGCAGATTTCGTCGTTCAGCAATATCGGTTCTCCTTCTGTATCTTCCTTCGTTTAGCGCGACGGATATAGCCGAGAGTTGGGTCGGCGCGATCATTCGGGTCGCGGCCGTTCATCACCTGATGCACTCTCTCACGCTTCTTCTGCTTTCACTTATATCCGGTGAGATTTCGTCAATGCATCACAACTATGTTATTATTTATTGTTGAATAAACATCTGCTGCGTTTTCATGATACTTATCGGGCATGATGAAACATAAGACCCCTCCCATTCCAAGTAAGCGGTCCCAGGCGGCATCATCTTCTTAAATCAGTGGGACTTACTCACTAGGACGTCGCTAAGACGTCAGAGCCGGTGGGATGGATGCAATATTTGTTAATTAATACCCTTCAAAATGCGCCACGCATTTGACATCCATGTAGGATTGTAGAGGAGATCGATTTCCACGTGGTGGCTGCCATTTTATGCCATTTTGTCAACCCCGATTTTGCGGTAATCTTGAGCGGAACTTGATCCATTAACCTTGGGTAACGTGTGCGATAACTTCGCCTTTTACCCTTGGACTTGTTGAGTCTCAAGATTTTCTACATACTGAACGTCGACTTTGGTGGCGTTCTCAGTTTGGGTAAATATGTACGTTAAGTAACCCTTAATTAACCCTGGGTTTTGTTCCAGGTCACTGTCAAAAATATGGAGGAGATGAGCCACTGGTGGTCCCGATCAAAGGGCCACAAGCGCAATTTCCGGCGCTTATCACCGCTGAGAACTTCCCACTATTCCCATTCACTGACCAGTTCAGTACAGGGATTGAGATAAACCCGGCCAACAAAATCGTGAGTTCCATGTTTATTGACTTTCACTTTAGGCTATGGAGCTTCTATAAAAATCACGAGAAGCGCCATAAGTAAGAATGCCGTACCCTTTTGTCACACCACCTTCGCCCATTTTATCAGAAGATTTTTCAGTCACTCGCTGGTGATCTAAACATTCCCGTTCCCGGATGGGGAAACTTCGACGTCGACGGGAATCTTTACTATGGCAACATCAATGTCGACACCAAAGTGGGCTATCAAATTCGACCAACGAACAGGCTGAATATCAAACCGGAAACGCTAGCCCTTCTGGGACAAAGCCCGGAATTCCGAGCAGCTCGAAGTGAGTCATAGTTCCTGAGGAAAAGGCTCAGGGGTAAAAAATTTGTATGATCATGTCTTTGTTGTTCATATTTGAGGTGAGTATGGCTAAGGGGCTTGCGAATTCTACATCGATGTGGTAATCCCAGGAAACTCGCTATCAATTCATGGTTCCTAAGCGGCCGGCGGTCGAGATGATTACACCATCTGGAGTTAAAACCAAGGAATTTGCAATAGTTAAGGTAGTGGTAACCGTTAAAGGCACAACCCTGGCTGAAGTCGTGTTAATGGTTCCTTTCGGTCTGCTGGATAGCCCCCTAAAAGGCGATCACAAATGTTGCACTTCCCCGTGCATGAATCTCATCCAACAAGGATGCTAGGGTCTTGCATAATTAGCTGCAACAGCTGCAATGTTCCCCGCCCGCAGCAGGTCCCTCTCATATGTAGAGCTCTCTCGCCTCGCACTCTCGTCTCCACACTCAATCTCTCATTGCCTTGGCACATCCGCATTACGATGGTTAGCAATCCCCAAACCTAGGCGTTTCTGACATCCTCTTTTCCTTATTTTTATTTTTCTATTTCTTTACTGTTTAACCATATCGCAGCAATACAATCGTATTCCTGTGCAAGAATCATACCAGCTTGACTCCGAGGCATGCCTCTAAAGGCAAGCTCCGGGATAAAACAGATATATAAATACACTTCTTAGTATGACTGAGCTGCGGATTATACTTGGCGTGAGATGGGAAAGGAAAGAAAGAGAAAGCATCGGATACGGGGGAAATAAAAGTAAAATTAGGGCCTTAAGCTACAGTAACGTCAGATGTAGCACGATGGGGAGACAGGGCGATCAAAGTAGTCAAACACGCGACTGAGAACGCCGTTCGAGAGAACGCGCTGATCTCTACATCAATCGCGATGGGTCGATGGTTGCACCCCCGTAGAGTTTAGCGCCCTAATCGCGCAATCGAGGAAGCTGGAGTGACTATTGAGAGAGTAGACCCTACTCTGCTATCATCTATTAAGGTTCGCTCGCCTAAACTAGTTCCATGCGAGTTGTGTCTCACTACCTAGTAAGCGTTGGATCACGATTTTACACTGCCGTACTAGTTCCTTTGAGCCGATCTTAGTTTTCGGTATCAAGTGCGTCGAGAGCGAATTATGGCTAGACTGAAAGTCAAGTAACGAACCTATACCATAAAAAGATAAAGCGAACACTTCGCAACCAGACCGGAAGTCAAGACGGTCTCTTACCGAGGGCTGCATTGTTATGCGTTATTTTTGTACAGTCCAGTCTTCGGTGAAAGGCCAGTGACTCATGCTTTGAGCGACACGGGCTTAGCCTACTCTTCTTGATGAAGAGATAGGCTAAGCCCGTGTCGCTCAAAGAACATTACACCAGAGAGCAAAGAAGATCCTTTCAGAAAAGGCTAAAGAAGTTGTGGTCGGTAGAATCCCGTACGGTTACGAGCCGATCAAATGCAAACCTCCTTATTGTAATCCATTCGTTCACCATACGGGAGTTGCTGTTGAGGTCGAACAAGGTACGTCCAACTCGAATCCTTACATTCCTCACGAATAATCAACTCTTCAGGGGACGATACCTTCTTTATTGGTGGCATTGACCTGCCACTGCCAATCGGACCGCTCGGCTCAGGTGTTCGCTTTCCTTTGTCGGGAGCAGTGGAAGCGGTAAGCTTTGAAAACTGTATTGAAAAGAAGGAAAAGCTAGGTTAAGGTGTTTTGCAACCAGCCGCAAGCTTTGATTTGAATTACTCAAAGGAATATTTCCCGGAAAAATTATGATTCTACATAAAGTGTCGGTGACCCTCCATCCATAATAAGAACGAGAAAGAACAAAAAAATGCGTTTGTTTTGGTAAACAATTCGAAAAACCGGAAGGACTGCTACGCGTTCAAATTCCCGCCGGACATCTGTCACAAATGCTGGCGGCGGGAATACTTCCACTTTTTCACGAGCGCTGTGGGCACTACTTTCAAATGTACCATTTCAACGCATGTCTACTCTCACTACCTAACCGCCTACATATTTCCCAATCCCACAAAAAATACTATTGCATGAAATTTCAAATAAGGGATTCGTTTTCAGGGAACGTCTCCATACGCATACGCCCATGGTCATGCATTCAATCCAGTGTCCCCGTTTGACTTAAACTCCATCAATGACGATGACGTCACACAGGTATGACGTCATTTGAAACAATATCGTTTGATGTGAAAACTTATTTTTCCAGGTGGGAAATCGGCCAATTCGACGAAGCCCTGTGAAGAATATTGACAAGGACGCATTCTATAGAAAGTTCTTCGATAAGCTCCCTCAATAGAATTCGAATGTTGACGAAATACTGCTGGAAGGCGCCACACGTTACAGTACCTCTAGCTGCTGTACATACTTTGCACTAGGAGAAATGTCGTTGTCCGTTCCAGCTGCTTGAAATTGCGACTGGAATTGTTTATCACTGAGTTTAGCACTAATAAATATTTCGTGATATTGCGCTTTAAGCTGAATGCGCTATGCCCTACGAGAAAACTATAATAAAGCTTTTATTTGATTTTCTAAGGCATTACATCCCATACTCGAGTTTTGCTTGTCAACATTTGGTACATCAAGCCGCTCTTA